ACTTAGGGTCTCATAGGTTATCAGCGTGTACTCAAATCCATTACTACTTTCTCACCCCAGGGAAAAAGTAATTACATAAAAGAATGCCTACTCTTTAGTGGGAGCAAAAGATAAGTGTCACACTCAGGAAAGAGGAAAACGCTGAGATTTCAGTTGTCTTGTTTTCCTCCGAAAGGAATTTATGAAAACACTGTTGGGTAGGGAGAGGGAGGGAACGCAGAGCAACCTTTAGAGTGGGAACAAGTCAGCTAAATACAGCAGTCTGTTTTCCAGGCGGAACAATGATTTATACTGCAGATGTCTGCGTAGTCTATTGGAGACCTCTCTACAGAGATAAAACTGCTTTCAACGTCTCCATGTGAAGCCACAAAAATATTAAGTCCATAATGTATCGAGTGTGCTAATACAAGATTGTTTGGAATATTATATATACATTTCCCCCCCCAGAACATTTTAAGAGGGAACACGTAAAAATACCCTGAGCCCGAAAGACAAAACTTTTGCTGAATTTGCTCCTGCCTTTATTTGTATTCTGCACCTTTTCCTGGAGCCTCCCACAGCACCTAAAACCCAATCACAGTTATTTATTATTTATATTGCTGGGGCGCTTCCAGCCAAGCCCCACTCAGCACCAGGGCCCTGTTGTTCAAGGCGATGTGCAAACTTGCAGAAGACAGAATCCACCCCCAAAAAATGGGGACAGAAACTGCAGCACCACTTAAAAAGTGGGGGAATTTACACCAACTGCCACTACCCTGGTCCTTGCATTTTGACAGATTTCTTGCAATGGGCCAAGGAAAGAACTGAGCCTTGCCGTACCCCAGGGCAGTATTCATGTGCCTGTAACAGGCCAATCGACTGGTGCAGAAACAGGCCAAGGGACTCGTCCAGGATACACGCGAGTCACTGAGGGAGGCAGAAATAAGTGTACCTAATCGCACACTGCTTGGACACCCTTTTCACTGCCAGATTTCAACTTAAACAACTGTTTCCCACGCAAACACAAACAAGACAGGGGTGCAATTCTTCATCTGCCAAAAAACAGCCCATTTGCTGGGAGGCACGGTGCAGTAATGCTCAGGCACATGTCACACCAAGATCTTTGCTGCGTCAAGCCTGAGCCCTCTCACAGCGGGTTCTCTTCCCAGTCTCTCGCGGATCAATGCTCTTTCCTATTAGGAAAGCAGGAGCCTGTAAACATGGTTATTGCAGGTCCTTTCCCATCTTCAGTCTAGCATGGCCATACTAATAACCCTTCCCTTAAGCTGACTCGAGCTGATTGCTGCTGGAAAGTCATTGGGCTAAATTTCCCCCTTGCGGAAGTGGGTGCAAGTCTCATGAAAGCTCCTTAGGAGCATTAAGGACTTACATATGCAGTGCTTTAAACTCGTAAGTTGGATGTAGAGAGATTGTAAAATGAGCTGTAATGACAAATCAACATAACTTGGACTGACGGCAGTCATTAGGTATTCAAAACTAGTGCAGCTTTCCCCAGGGGGTGGTGGTAGCAAAAATAAATAAATAAATCAAAATGCAGCTACCTGGAGAGCCTACAATAAAAATCGGCTCACCACCTCCGCTTATTACTGCTGTTATTTCTTACGTGCCGACACAGAGGTCAGCGCTTTACAGAGCACGAACACTGAGATTGTGTCTGTCTGTAGTGGGACAGCAACAGCAGTGCATGATGCAGCAGGAGAGCCAGAGAAAGGAGTTTACAGCTCGTTTCTCTAGTTGGTATTGTTGTGTGCATGCCATATGGGAAATAGTGGAACTTAAGGAGAGAGCAGTGAAAGGGGAAGGGTAGTACTAGGACAGAAGGGTGGGAGGCACGACAGCAATGCAGGAAAACAAAGTTTCTACCCTTCCTTTTTCACCATCACACCCTGATCTAGACTCAGCCATTCTCCCCCACTCACTGGAGTGGTTGATGTCTTCTTTGCTTTGCCATTTATACCCATTGAAGGATTAGTGTATGTGTGTAGCGACCCCCTAGGCACCTTGCCCCTTCGACCCAGCCCGCGCTCGGGGCTGCCAAGGGTGCACGTTCTCTGCACGAAAGTGCGAAGGGCAGGCCTCCCGCTCTGCGCTTCTGCTCCTTACCAGAGTCTGCAAGAAAGCCACCAGAAGAGCACATGACTGATGGGGAGAGCGCGCATCTAATAACTGCCTCTGCATGACTCACTCCTCAGCATTTGTTTTCTTTATTTGCCCATGTGCAGGTAGGGGTTCCAAGCCCCTCTGGTTCGCAAGCTACCAATTCACATTTCTCCTTCCTAATACAAAATTTACATGTGGATATTAAAACCCCAGCTTTTAACATTTTTAATAAAAGTGACAATTAAATTGCAACAAGAACAACAGCGAGCGTATTTAGAGCTATGCATTCAGTTTCATTGGGGTCCAGAGTACGTATTAAAAATCCAACAGAGAAAAAGAAGTTACTTTTAAAATAAATGTAATCATTTTCTAAAAATGGAGATTTTAAATTTGTCTTTAAAATTCTTTCCTGCTTTACAAGTCCTAGATGGGAGTCTGTTTAGCTCCAGTGCCTCTCAGCACAGGTTTATCTTCATTCATACAAGAATCAGGCATTAGGGGTTTATTCTTCCCTAGATGTATGCACATAACTTTCATTAACTTTATTGGAAATTCTGTGCATGCATAAAGAGAAGTGATCCCATTACAGCTTCATTACAGATGTGTGTCACATACTGGTACCTAGAGTTGAACAGTATATAAAGTTGAAAGCGGTGTGAATAAAGGTAGCATTTTAAATGTGGGACACTTTTCGGGCCCATTTTTCTGCCTGTGCAAAGCTGAAATGAATGGTATTGTTAGATCATAAGCTCTGTGAAGCAGAGACTGTTACTGCGTGTAGCACTTTGCACAATCAAGCTCCAGTCTTGCAGTATAAATAGATCATACTAAATACTTCCACTGATACTAATACTTCAGCAGAGTGGGAAACAAAACCCCCACAACATGAAAAGAAGTCTCAGTGCATTTTGTGGGAGAAAGGTACCAAACTGACCACAATTACCAAAGTGCAGCTTATGATTTTGGGGTGTTTAACTAGCTCATGACTTTCCAAAACAGCGAAACCCCTAGTCTGTCCAAAGTTGGGCTCTCCAGATCACTAGCTATTGCAGATATGGTTCTACGCAAGGTTGGTTTGGGAACCACTGAGTGATCCACCTGAGGTTACGGACAGATTTAATAATTACACTGAATTAAAAGAGTCGGGCAACTGTTCTAACAGTTTCATGTATCCACCATCTTTCAGTAAAGGGTGGAGGGTTAGCTTCTTAATTGTAGAAATAATTAGGAACTTTGCCCAGAAGCCGTCAGTCCAACCACTGAACACTGCTGATTACATGAAGGCATCAAGAAAAGGCATTTGGGGCACAAGAGCGTGGCTTTTCTTAGACCGGTGCCATGCAGGGGTTGTCCCGAGGGAAACAGTGAAGACAGTGGGGCTGAGGCTGGCAGAAGCAGTAGAGCAGAAAGAGTGAGATGCAATACAATGAAACACAAAATTGGCTGCGTAAGAAGGGAGAGCAAGACCAAAAGTGGAACCTAAGCATACAGTTTGCATGGGTAAGACAAGGAAGGGTAGGTCTGGGAGAAGCAGCGGGGAGCAAAATAAATATTTCTTGCATCATCATGTTCTGGTCAGCAAAACAGAGAAACACTAATAAACACACAAACCAAAAAAAAAACAGTGCTAGCAACATTACAGGAGCAGTTTGTACAGCTTTTGCTTATACATAGCAATTTAAGATGCAAACAAAACATGAAAAGCTAATCCAGAATTAACAATAGGCCAGATGGTAATGCTAGTCTGAAGCAATAAACTTGAAAAATAGCTTCCTACTGCTACCACTGATCAATTTCCCTATTTAATAATTTAATCAAAAATGCATGTTTCTGCTACCATACATATTCAGCTTTAGAGGGGGGGCTGGGTTTTTAGTATTAATTTACTCATTCATCAGCAAAATTTCAGCTGTGGTTTAGAGCAGGAGAACTCTTAGACCTTAAAATGATAATTAAGATGCACACTTACCCTCAAAGGTTTGGATTTAAGCCTCTCTCTCCTGCCAACAAAGCTGCAGTAAGTTAGCTGCTGTCTGCAGCACCTTGATAGAACACCCACCTTGCTGCTCCAATGAATTTTATTATTTAATGAGTTTCTCTTTCGATTAAAAAAAAAAAATCTTCTTTTTATCAAATCATTTAAGTTTGGAGTCAATTTAACAGCTGAGCTGTAGTGCAAGTTTCTGCTAGAACATACTGTACCTCCCTCACTTATGAAGCCAAAGGTAAGGAAAATGAGGAGTCTTGTGTCAAACTCAATATATGTGAAAGTTGGCTAAAACCACATAATGGATTTGTTTAAAAATAACCCAATTTGGGAACAAGACCTAACCAATAAACCAACTAAATATGTGTACTCAGAGCACCTGAATGAGCCTCTTGTTTGTTAGACTGTGCAAGTTACTACATAATGCAGGACAACACCTAATTACGCTGTAATCAATAGACTTGAGAACTCACGGGGAATGCTTTTAAAGGAACTATGGATTTGGAGGGCCTGGGTGAGGTTTCACAACATCAGCTTCTGTAAATATAGATACAAGGTACTCTAATGTGTATTAAGAGGTTACTGATGCATGCCAGGGGTTCAGCACATAAATAGAAGACAAAATTCTTCAGCCACCAGATGACTCCAGGAGCAAGCGATAGGAAGCGTCCCTTCACAACCCAAAACTACACCTGAAAAATGGCCAGTACAAGTCTGGAGGGCTACAGAAAGCCAGGTCTGACTAGCACTTCCATCTTCCAGCCAGAGGAAAGCCATGATATAACCAGCCCGAATTCTCCACCGAGATGCACGTGGTCTGTTTCCACAGATTTTACTAGAAACATGGTGTGCACTTGTGAGCAAAGCCTACATCAAAAGGAACACTTACATCCTCAATACAAAATGGTATTACCTGATTCTTTGTGGTCCATCCCCATGCTGTTCCACCTTCTTGTGATATCAATGTAGAGAATATCGACTGTGGCCATGGAGAAGTTGCTGTTACTCAGCTTACAGTTCCTGTGAAATGGACACAAAACAAAGAGGAAGAGAAACACTCCGATTACTTCCAAGGCTAAGGGGAGGGAGACGGGCAAGCACAAAGACATGCAGAGCTTGGGACAAGGCTATCGAAGTCCAGGCACCAGTCAAACAAGTGCTTATTTCATACACACGTAAGGGTACAACAGAGAAAGCTCTGCATGTTCTCAGTTATAAAACCTGTCACACACACAACTCACCTCTGCATTTGTGTAGAGCAGTGGGGGGGCCAACCTTTTTGGCAGGCGTGCCACAAATTAGCCCTCCACCCTTTGTCACCTTCCCAGTCTGCCCGTGTCACTTGTGACACCTGTACCACAGGTTGCTCATGCCTGGCACACAGCTTCCAGACAACGGCACTTCTAGAAGGAGCTAAGCAAAAAAAAGAGTGCTCTGGCTATTGCCATGCATCTAAATCAGTTGAAAATTCAATGCATTCAATTACACGACAATATGCTGAGAACAAGAGGCACCAGGTCAGATTAAGGATTAGCTATCTACTGCACATGATTTTCAATTAGCTGGGTTTTACTAGAGAAAAGAAAAGGAAATAAAAAGGGATTAAAACATTCAACAATTTCAATTAAAATACGGCTTGACCAGTTGTCACAAACAGCTTTCTCCAGGGATTATTCTTACGAGTCCATCCCCAACTGAAGTTTGCTGATCCGCTGGAAGTGCCAGCATACATCTGCATGGCATATCCAACGGCCTGCTAAACGTGCTGCAACCACTAGGTAAGGATTCAGTTGGATCAGCTACAACTAGCATGAATGGGTCTGAAGCCACCTACTCTCATGTATAGGAGACACTGATGTCCCATTGCTACCTTGAGGATCTACCTCTTGTCTTGCTTCTGAAGCAGGTAACAAGGGCAGAATGTCTTACACATTTACTGGAGGATTCTTGGAAAAGGAAAAAAAAAAAAATTGTGGGAGGGGAGCAAATATGCAATATAGATCTTAAAAAAAAAAAAAAAAAAAAAAAAAAAGTCAAGGTTTTTCTGAAAAAGGAGGAAATGAAGAAGCATCAGGGACCAGAAAAGAACGAGTTCTTTCAGTGAGTCTGTCTATCCATCCTGAGTTTTATATTATCAGTATTTTCATCACCAAGGTATCTAAGGCACCAATGGTGGTGGAAGCAAAGCTTGGATCACTTCAAAACTTGGCTACCTAGCAGAAAAAGCACAGCAGGGAACAGTGAGGCACTGGCCTGTGGATGGAGCAGATGCCCCAACATATTTTCCCTCTGTAATTTGTATAATTCTATTTGTTTCTCTTCATTCATTCATTCTTGAATGCTGAAGGTGCCTGCATGGAAACAGGATCTCTGTACTTCAAGAGAGCATCTGCTCCCGCTGTTTATTCCTTTTGTCATAGTTGGTGACAGACAGAAGATAGGATACTGCTATCATGATGGAACATGCATATCCATAAAAAACCCCAATGAAAATGACAAATAAAAAAGTATATGAAAAAATAAATTGAATTCCGTGCCCCTGCACGCTGAAATTTCCCAATGAAAATCATTAGTGCACAATGCATCAGTGACTGGCATTCGGAAAGCCTCTCTCCTAGCCGACAGCAGCAGGGCATGCAGCCACATCGAAGAGCAGATCTAAGTCATCGGACCTCAATAGTCTATTTTCCCTAATTTTGCAACACAACCTCACTCCCAATCCTATGGTTTACTAGAGATAAAACAAGTCAATCTGGACCACGGAAAGCACTGAACAGTTGTTCCACATCATAGATCTGCCGTGGAATAAAGGCATAAGCGTACTTTCTGAATACAGTTGTAGGCTGTGGGTCAGTTGATGCCCATCTGTTGCCTTCCTTAAAGCTAGACACATACCTAAATAACAAGAACTGCAAAAGGAAATCATCTTCCTCTCCAATGCTATTACTTTCCTCATTTGTGATATCTGAATAATGCATGCTATGGTGTCCCAGGACTTGCTTTTCTACATACAAATATGGGAAGGAATAATAACTTTTCAAGGATGCCTATATAGCCAGCAGACAAAACCCACAACTAAGCAACAACCCGAAACAGTTCAGGACTGTAGGCTATATAAACAAAGAGCAGAACCAGACTGACATTTCGCACAATGTTTTGAAAGCCGTGCAAGAAGTTGCACAACTTTTTTTATCTTGGTACAGAACTCTCCAAAGCCACAGGCTTTGTATGCATGTTCCAGGTACGTACATGTCCCAAAGGTACGAGAGGATGGGCAAACGTCAACAAAAGGGTTAGACATTCCCCTAAATTAAGGCATACCTCTGCTACCGACACCTGCTCTTTCAACACAAAAAAGGAGTCTCAGTTACTCAAACAGTACATCAACGAGCTGGAAAAAGCTGTAGCGGGGGAGAAGTTAAGCTAAAACTGGGTGGGTGCTCTCAAGAAAAACACACTGAAGTGTCAGCTCTGAATAAACTCCCTGGACTTCAGTTTAACCATTTTGGGCAGCCAGCTCATACATCACCAAAAGATGCTTTGTTCTTTTTTGCCCTTCTGCATTTACTGCATGTTTCCCATCTGAACGGATAATCCAATGGGCGCGTCTACACACGACCAATGGGCTGTGCATCCAATAGGCTGTGCATCTACACATGACCAGCAGCTACTTTGCTGTAGCAGCACGCTCCCACATTATAGCACACCGCTATGGCAAAGTAGCAGCTAAAAGTAACTGTGCGCCGTGCATACGGTACAGTATGGGCGGCATCATAAACTTCCAAAAGGGCCAGGGCAGTTAGTGTACCTCAAGCCAACTTAAGAAACCGGTGCTTACTAGATATTGATACTTCATATTGCCTGTATGTACCTATTGAGATAGTGATTTAGGAGTATCGGGCTTATATAGTTAAGGAAATGAAGTAAACATACTTAGGATAGTCCATATTTCACAGGTAGGAAAACACCACAAGGCTGGCTAGATATTAGCACAATTCACGCCAATGGCCGACTCTTGCAGCGCATTTCAAGAGATGGACACCATGAAAGTGAGTTAAGACTGGGCACGCTATCTTTATTTCCTCATTCCCCTTTTTCTGGGAGGTACACAATAGAGGACAGTTCAGTTTTGCAAGGGTATTTCACATTAGTACTTCTATGTTAATCCCTCCATTGCTCATGCCGGTTACATATGCTGTATTTTCAGAGAAAGGCCTAGGATCAAACTATTAGTTTATAATAAGGCAGAAATTTAAAGCAAAATTGCCTACAGAGAGAGTCTTGTAAGGAAGATTAACTGCAAAACACTAAATTCACCAGCCAAATAGCTTTAAAAACAGCCCAATCAATTGGCACAGGAAGATAAGCACAGGAAGACACAGTCTTTTCATTTTGAAGAGCTGTGGATACAGACTGGCAAGTTTTGAAAAACACACTGCTCAGTGACAAGTCTATCCGTTTCTCAGGTATTTTTCCTGCTTCTTCATCCATCGCTTCAAAGGGCATTTTGAGGTGCTTTCCCCCACCCCTTTTCTGAGAACTTCTCAAGCTACTTGTTCTGCAAGAGAGACAGTTTTCATTCTGTGGAGCCACGACGATTTCTATAGCTGCCAAAGGCAATGTCTCCCATTTGTCATTTCCTTTCCTTCCTTGAGAAGTACCGAGGCAAACCGTGTGAAAAATTGGAGCTTTCTCCTTTCCAGTTCAGCGAGGGATGCTGTACCATCCCGCACTCACGGCAGACAGCTCCCTCCCGCGTGCAATTGTGTACTTTAATACTGGACAATGAGGAGTCTAGGAGGGCAGCAGACTAATTACAGGAGAAGCCTGTACACATACTTATCTCAGTAATTACCCATCACAAGAGCATTCACGAGTTCAAGGAGACTTAGGAAGGAAATTCTCTCTTTGGACAAATCTACTGACCTTATTGGAACAAAGTGTTTCAGTACTAGCTCCATATCTATCAGAGAGCTGCCATATCATAAAAGCAGCACAATCTCCTGGGGCCTTGAGGTCTTAAAATCCCGTGAGACATGTTATGCTAGCAGTTTCCAAGCCAGAGTGAATGGTCTGCAGATCACAACAGACTCCTCCTCATTTTTAATTAAAATGTGCTAATGGTGCAAGGTATCCAGGTAGCAGCTGTAGAGAAACCAGGACTCATGGTAGAGGTAATATCTTTTATTAACCCAACTAGATTTTTTTTTTTTTTTTTTGGGGGGGGGGGTTGGGTTTTTTTTGGATTAAGGAGTGAAATGGAAAGAGATTTCATACTTATAAAGACATGGTCAAATTAAAGATTTATTTTATTTTATTTTTGGGGGGCAAAAAAAAATCTAGTTGGTCTAGTAAAAGATATCACTTCTACCACAAGTCCTGATTGCTAATGGCACAAGACATTTTAAGGGCTGACAGTGACCCATTGACCCAAAAAGACTGGACATTATTGCTTCAGGCAATTAATTCTCTGGGGCAAATCTCAAGTCTCTCACCTTACAAACGTTCGGAAACCTGTTGGCCCCAACCTCGTCGTCCCCTTCACTCCCAGGAAGCGGATGAACAAGGCAGCTACCCTCTCCACCAGTCGCAGGTAGTTGAACTGCTTGGCATACTTCGGAAACACTTGCTTAAGACAAGGGGAAGGCAAGCTGGCTTCTGGATTTTTGCTGCTATCATGCTCCAATTTGTCTGTTGATCCTCCTTCCGATAGCTGTTCTTTCTTTTCCGATGCAGGTTCAGAAGGTTGAGATCTGTAGCACAAAAGTAATTGTACCTGGTGATAAGGGTGTTACTGTAAAACATTATATCAATTCACTATGGTTCTGTCAGCAATTTTTATCATAAAATCCTATTTTCAGAGATTTATACAGTAACTTGGAAGAAAAAAAAGCTGCTCTAAGCAGGAAGAAGCCGTGCAAGCAATTTTATACAAAATCAGGGGGGGAAAAAAAAACCAAACTGTTCACTTGTCTATAAAAGTTTCAAGAACAAGAAAGTGATACCTGGCTTAAGAAATCTTTATACTCATACTTGTTGTACAAGAGGGAAAACATATACAGGACCCAGTTTTCAAACTCGCCTGCCCAAAATAAGGACCCTTAATTCATATTTCAGCACAAATATAAAATGCCCAGTCCTGAGCACCCATAAATCTTCCTGAAGTGAACAGGAGTCTGCGGTTTTCAGCACCTGAGAAACATGCAACTTCTCCAAAGGGTTTGAAGTTTGGGTTTTTAATTTTTAATTTTATTTTTTTTAATTTCAGTCCAATGGCCCCAAGAACGTAAAAGGCCAAGCAAGTTCTCTCAGTGACTAGGAGAGCTCACCTCTACAGCGAACTGGTCATTCGCAGTCCACACTCATCCCGTCCAGTATAAACTATCAAAGATAGCACCAGTGATGATTTTTTTGGATCATATGGGTCTTTATCATCTGCTAGGCAGAAGTCATCAATTCACCAATTAGATCTTGGAAGGCAATAATTCCTAGCTACTTCCTGCCTTATTCAACCTGGTGAATCAGATGGAAAAGATCCCATCCCACAGCAATTTCTTAGAGACAATCAGAGATGTAGTTACCAATCCAAATGCCAAACTGCAAGAGCCAAGATATTCAAAACTGAGCAGTGATTATTGGGTGCTCAACAGACATCTGAAAAGGAACTTGATTTTCAGGCGGACGTGCAGGCACCTTCCAAAAGTCAGGTTCTTGAAAGATCCCTCACGTCACACATCCGAAAGCAGAGGCATCCCACATCACAGTCACTTTCCAAACTGTTGGTCAAGATCTAGTTGCACACTACTCAACAGTGCAGCTTAGCAGGGCTAGTAAAAATGTACCTGCCAGAAAAATACAAAGGCCTGGAAACCAACCTGCTTTATTAGATCCATCACACTAGGACACTACTACATTTCATTTCTTTTTTCCCCTGGGTGCGTTTCCTCCCAGGCCTCCCTGCCCCTTCTTAGCAACGTTTTCGGTAACATTTAAATAAGAGTAGGATGCAGAAAGAAGTCCTCCAACACTGAGTTAACAAAAAGGACAGTTAAAAACCAAAAGAGAAGGCAAATTTAAAGAAGTTACAGAAATCGAATCAAACATTTTATATCCAGTTTTGTGCAGGACATTCAAACAGGACCATCAGGGCTTGCTACTGCATCATCCCAGGGGCATGCTCCCTCCAGAAATCAACCCTGAAGGGATGCAGCCACTCACAGGCGTGACGCTTTTTGGGCAGGGCAGAAGAGTTACCTCCACTGATAATCCCCAAGGTGAATCAGCAGTTCAAAAACAACAGGTGCCTTCAAATAGCAAAGCTCAGTCACAGCAGCAGGGTGCAAGAACAGGGGCACGGGCAGTGCTGGGATCAACCATTACAATAAGTACCCCCCAGCTCAGAAGAGGAGCCAGAGTGAGGCGAGTGACTTATCCACTGGCATGCTTAGGGTCAAAACCAAGCTGAACAGGGATCCAAAATTCACTGCCAAGGAGATCAGGAGCCTGTGGCTTTAGGGCTATGCAGCAAAGAGGACTAGCCAGAACAAGGGCAGCCGGCACTGGACGGGTCCTGTTATTTTTTTTGAGGAAAAGGCAGAAAGCAGGGTGGGACCAGAGCTTGCGTGAGGAAGACTGTGCTGCGTGGACGAATGGGGAGCATCGCTATATCACGTTCTGCAAGTGGGAGGAAAGACACCCAAGTGCCTGGAAGACAGCTGGGATAACAGGGAACATACAATCCTCTGGTTCACACTCCTCTTACCTTCCAGATGGCAAAAAGGGGCAAATAACTTCCAAGCAGCAACAGCCCAGGCAGCCAAAGACAAAGCATGGCAGGAGGCTCCTGAAATATTGAGCAGCTCACCCTCTTCTGCTGCCTGCTTCCCTTTCCAGGGCTCTCCTGGCTCTGCAGCCCATCTGGTTGCCTGGGGGTGTTAATCCCTTCCACCTGGGCACCAGCTAGTCACAGCTGGAGCCATTTGCCAGCCCCCTTCCACAAGCAGAGTCAGGCTTTAAAATTTAACATGCCAATGAGTAAAATGCTCAGTATGTTCTGGAAATCAGGGAGGTTTTCCAGACAACCACTCACTCACTCACGGCTTGTTAAAAGATTTTTCTGGGGCTGAATTTGGGAATTTTAGTCAAGTCCTTGAATCGAATAAAGTAAACTGAAATAAGCAGCCGCTTGCCTCCATTTAAAAGAAAATGTGTCTCCCCTCCAAAATAGAAGGATCGAGATTTCTAATGATCTGTGGGGCAGACGCGTGCATTTTTGGTGTAGCTGGAAAGATGCAGGTCCCCATACATGCTCTGAGAGCCGCAAGCCCTGTCTGCCACCTTGTTCCCAATTCTTAACCAGTCCTCAGTCATGACACTGACTGCTACCTCTATTCCTCCTCCCCTTTCTTAGCGCACAGCTTGCAAATATAAATGCCCTCTCAATCCCCATGAACTGCACTCAACAAGTGATTCAAGCTATTAGATATGAATGGGAAAATGCATTTCCAGACAGAGCAGGAATACCAAATAGACTCAGAGGTGACGTGGAGAATGTGAACAAGATAGAGGAATTATATCTGCAATGCGAGTGCCAGAAGATTATCCCTCATTATCAGACTTACCAGATACAAAAGTAATCACAGTGTTATTTAGAAATTGTGTTAATTTAGGGGTTTAGGTCAAATCAAGGACTTTTGCCAAGGCGCAGATTTGCATTGCTGCCCAGCAACAGAGCAGACTTGTACACGGTTGTGTGTGGTTTCAGTGCTCTCACAGCCACGTGCCTTTCAAACTCAACGTACACACAACTTCCCGCAGATCTGCAAGTCTAACGGCTTTGTTTTTTGCTATTACAGAAGACAAATCCCACAACTGCTTGCAAAGAGCTTTGTGACCATACGTAGTCAATCCCAAACCCACACTGTGCACTGAAATCAAAATTATTATTCATGTCTTTTTTTTCTATTAGAAAAACAAAGTATTTCTTGAAGGAGGGCTTTTATTCAGCTCTATCCTGCCTTCATTTCACTATCAAGCAATATGGTCTCAGCTCATACTTTAAAAATGGCAAAGATGGCCAGACTTTTCTATATACAGAATGGTCATATTAGCCTGGGTATCCTGGACGGGTCCCATTTTGCTCAGACAGATCCTGCCTCCCTAAATTGCTCCTGGCATTTCAAATAGATACTATATTCTTCTTCCCTTTATACTGGTTTGCAGACTGCTGTGAGCTGTTAAACACCTGCTACCTTTTCACTCTGGAGGTGGGCGAATCAATCCCTTTGCATAGTCTGACAAAACACAAAAGTGTTATAGGGTGAAAGGAGCTGTATACGGATAATTTTCCACTGTCAACATGCACTTTGGCTACCAAGGTTCACAAGCTGCAAAGAACACAACTCTATTACCTTTCGCATCCACGATTATTATTATTTAGGGAGGAGATGATTGAGACCTGAGAAGAACACAGGCATGATCTCTCGACCGCCTCAAAATCATATCGTTGTCACTACCCGAACGGTTGGAGAAAGGACTTCATTTCATCCCGTATTAGCAGCCCCACCACTGTCACCATACCAGTGCCATCTGCCACTCATGTTGTGCACATGTGTGGGGGAAATCTCTCATTGTGGCCTCATTTCCTTCAGTCCATTGCAGCAAGTTATTAATTTAGAGCGAACATAACACAGAGTTGCCCCCAGAAAATCAAAAGGCATTAGTTCAAAACACAGGTGTGAGCAGCACAGAGCCACGTCACAGCTAAGCGATTCTGATTCCAGATCGCAAACCTCATACCCACTTCTTTTAAGGGTGGGAGAAATCAAATCACAACTCAGACCGGGGCCACAGGGAGCACAAGGTCAATAATAATCGAGCCAAGGGCAGACGATTAGTGCCCGGCTCCCTCGTTTCCAGCACAACAACAATATAATATCATCCCCAAGTAAATGAGCACTGCCTGTTGCTCAGTTACTGATACACAAATCATCACTGTACCTGCATCACTCTTCACTCACCCGCTTTCCAGGAGATTTCCTTTGTCGGGGTGGAGGTGGAGGGGCACCCGTTATAAGGACAGTCAAAAGCTACCGTTTAGAAATAACTCGACTTCTCTTATTGCTCAGCTGTAATCTAATGGGGATTAAGGATGAGGCTAAGGATCTTTGTTGTTATACTGGCAAGGATATCCTGCTCCAGAGTCACATCATATTTGACTAAATCAACATAAAAAGACTTTACTGTGATATGGCAGGGGGAGCGGGGGGCAAAAATAAGAACCACGGCTAAAATCTGAATGCAGAGACAACAGTTGTGTACTGCGTGTTATAGTCATGGCACGTGAGCTGTGTCCCAACAGAAAGAAAAGCCAGACGTCAGAACCAGTGAAACCCACTCACAGACGCAGACTTCTTTCTCTGCCATTTGCTTGTGAAGAGGAAGGAGAGGAGCTATTCGGGGATTTTAAGTCAAGGGAGACTGGCCAGATTGCTCCAACCCTGGATCTTTGGTTTTTCTTCAACTTCCAGTTGGCCACTGAGCCCATCCACAGCCAGTGAGGTACAGTCCCGCGCTACAAGCTCAGGTGCACTATTCCACCTAATTCGAAGCGTCTCCAATGAGAGGGTTTCCCATATCTTCTTCGAAAGACTTTTGCATTACCTGGATAATCCAGCAAGATGTACAAAAGGGACCTCACTTTAGCACTGCATGCGAAGGACGAGACTTCTTACACTGCTAGCACCTGTAGTCC